TTTTTTCTGATCTGGTGTTGTTGCACTGATGATACTTTTTGTTGCTACAAACTAGATTCCATTTAGATTAGTAATTACGTTTGAAAGGCGAAAATTTCGCCTTCGTTGAAACTTGATTCCTTTCAGTCAAACTATCGTATTTGATTAACAATACAGGCAAGGATTACAAATAGAAAACTAGATTTGATTGCAGAGAATGCATTTCAAAGTGTTTCTTCTATTCAAGTTTATTGTAGTGTGAGGATTTGGCGAAAGTACACATGTATTGGATTTAAATGTCAGTGCACTCCTTGCTGGTGTCTTGTATTGTGTTCTTGTGGTACATGCTCTCCATCATGTGGTTCTTTTGAATGAAATTGTGGAAAAAATGAGTTAAACATCATAATATTTATTCTGAGAGGCATTTTTTTTTTTTTTTTAATTGTGCATGTTCTCCATCATGTGTCATTTTGAACTTGTTATATACATGTCCTGAGATAAGTTCAACAAGAAGTAATTAATCTTCTTTTTAGTTAAAAGAGGGGAGTTTAAAATCTGAATGCTTTTTATCTTGAATTTTTGATGTTTTGAAAATTGTGTCCTGTAATACTATATTTTGTTTATCATTAAAAGTTAAAGTAGCATCCGCATATTCAGGGTTTGAATATTTCCTCTGGCTTCAAAGCTAGGACCATCACGTAATTATTGATGGTAATTTTGGCAGACATGAAATAAATCCATATGTTTATGTGGAGTTACACGCCATTCCCAGGTAAATAAGCCTTCACGTTATGACAGCTCACCAAAATTACGCATACCTGGGAGTTGCGTCACACCAAAAGGCGCAAAGACCAGGAGACAGTCTGAGAGACGGAGTGAAGGAAGTCGACGTGAAGCTCAACTTGAAGAATAGGAAGACGTAATGAGCACAATCCCTATACTTGAATTCAGGCTGTTGGATTTTATCAGACACTTATAAGGACAAGCTGCAAAAAGAGGAAGAAATTGAAGGAATGGAAAAAATAATGCCTTGAAGGATGTTTACCAATTAATAATGGAGAAAAAAAAGGATAGACAGTAGATTACATTCAATAGGCAGATTACAACTTACAGAAATATCCCCTCTCAGGGGCATGAATTGAAGTTTTGGAAGAAGTGCATCAGTCGGGTAATTGTGTTCTGTTATTTTATCATGTCACAGACAGTTACAAGGATAGAAAACATTTTTTTTTTTACTTGTCAAATTTCTTTTCATCTGGTCTATGTATATGATTATGTTTCAAAAACTAACGTGTAGGGCATAAGGAGGGATCCAGGGGTGGATGCAGATATATTTTTTGACGATCTTCCAAATTATCTTTGTTGATCCATCCTCCATTTTTGACCATATTCCAACAGAAAAAAAAAAAAAAAAAAAAAAAAAAAAAACAAGTTTCCTGTCAATGTAAACTAGAAAAATTCTGACCGTCTTCCAGAAAACCCAAAAAATGGTCTCCATCCTCCCCTGAGATCTGTCTAGATCCATTGTTACAGCTGATCAGTTTAAACATACTAATAAGACACCTGTGCACCATAACACCTGCACAACACTGATACTGATGATCAGTAGGTGCCTTGGTAAAGACAGACAAAGTAAGTAAAAAATTCCTGAGAAAAAAGATTTAAGTACACTGTATTTAAACTATCTGTGATATGGTGAAATGATTAAGCAAAATGAATTTAATTATTGCAAATTAAGGGGGGAATATTCTGAATGGCCTTGTGGAAAGGAGAGTGAAAAAATGGATATATATCCAACTCTGGTGACCAAAAAATATTGTTGATGTATTTATTTGTTTCTTACTTTCTGTTGTTTAAACCATTGTTGTAAATATTAAAAAAAAGGCTGTTGATATTTAAAAAAAAACTTTCTTCCTTTTGATTTTTCTTGACATATTTAATTTTGCTTTGTTCTAGTAGTTTAGCTTAAAGGGATAATAACTCTTCGTATTGGATCTATATTTCACAATCAAAACATTGTGAACAACTCATAGAACTAAAATATATTCTGTTGTACCACAAAAACTGCAGTTATAGCTATTATTCTGATATCTGAGCTTGTCTTTACACCACATGACCTCCATTGATGGCTATACTCTGTTATAATCTCTTAAGAGATTATAACCAAAAAAACAATCTTTTTAGAAAAAAAAAAAAAAAAAAAAACAGGGACTAACTTTGAATGTAAAAATGGATTCATTAACCTTTGGTAAGTATGGGAAAATTGTTGTTTACTCCAGGAAAATTCATTTTTTGGCCAAAACAAAGAGTTATTATCCCTTTAATATGTCAAATATGTATATGGATAGATAGGCCTGGTGACAGGATATTTGACTTTCTATCAGAATTTGAAAAAAATGAAAGTGACAAATATTTATCTGGGACATGCAAATAACAACACAGTAGGCCAAAGACCAGATTTTCATTAATATTCATAACATACATTTATAGCAAAGGATTGAAAAAGTAAACAAAAAACAGCCCCTGTACTTGACATGCAAGTCAGATTTTGTTGTCTTCTTTAAACATCAACGTTGACAGGAAACTGGGACGTAAATACAGCAATGTCAATGGCCTGCAATGAGAGCTTTGGAACACAAGGAAAATTGATCCTAAAATGTTCTTAGGTGACAAAAGCATCACTAAACCACAAAGACTTATAAAAGTATAAGGCAATATCTAGATCCTGTAGTTACCAACAATGACCCAAAGCAGGCAGAGATGATTTTGTCACTATTTAAGGGCGCATTCCCATAGATTTTAGATCGAGCTAACCCAATGGGGAGTCTCACTAGATTACTGTCAGATAATCCGGCTTAAATGTCCGTCCTGCCTAATACAAGCTGTAAGGGGGTAATTAACTTCTGCGCCCAGTCAGCTGACTGCAATTTAGCGTGAACCTGAACCCCCAGGGAGTTAGGTCGATCTAGTAAGATCAGTCTAAATCTCTGGGAATGCCCTCTAACATTCAGGTCACTGAGGGAATACTCAGAATCATTGGAACTCGACCATTAGAGGCATCAAAGAACACAATGGCTTTGAAATGTGTTAAGAGAACTTGATGACTTTGTAGATGACAATTGACATATTCTTCAGGTCAGAACTGTTATGGGTGTTATGGGTGTTTTTGAGTCACTGGAGAACTTTGATGGGTTTTTTAGTCTGTGGCGTAAATTGCGTGTCAGAATTTGATCTTTCTTCGCCGTGATATGCCATAGGTGAACAGTCTGTCGTGCATTTTCTTTCATCTTTTTTTAGAATAGGATGACATAAATGTAGGCGTGATGCATGTCTTTACATGAACCATGTGTTTTTTTTCTTTTTTTTCCATCTATCTTTTAAAGAGGCTTAATTCCAGATGATATTGATGGATGCAGTAATGTGATAATGAACTATTGCAGCATGAAGAAGCATGCATGTCCATCCATTAATCTGGTTGAGAAGTTAATAAAGATAAATGCATGGAGGAGGTGGGTGGGTGGGGGTGGGGGAGGGTATATTCGCAGAGGCTGTGTTTGCAGCATAATTGATAACAATAGTTTTAGCTTTCGGTGTGGCTGCTTAGCAGTGGCAGATTTTGTCCTATAAGTTACACTTGAAACAAAATTTTTAGGATAGGTCAGAAATTGACTGTCTTAGAATCAGTTACATTTTGGTGGGAATCTATCAGTTAATTGATTAATAACCAGAATTGATCTGTCTTGGTGTAGGTATGTGCTCGAGTGCTGTCTAGTTTAAAAAAAAACCTGCTTCTGGTCTTACAATGCCGGTCAAGGTATGATATAAATCACAGTGGTGTATGTGCCTCAATTAGGACATTTCAAAATCACTGATGACCAGTGTGAAAAATATGATTTAATTAAAGCCAACAAAAGATTGTTTTGTCTCGATTTCAAATGATAATTGAGTTCTCTCAACCTTTTGAAAAAAATTTTACACCTAACCTATGAGGTTATGCACAGCACTGCATATTGTTTGCAATTTTTGAGGTAAACAATTTTAGTTTTAGGAAACTTCAAAACTTCAGTCAATAAATGCAATGAAGAAATTGTGAAAGCATTTCACATTTTTCTTGGAAGATGAGGTTCTGCTGTCTGCTGTGATAACGATGTCTCGGATGACTCACCTAATGGTTTACTAGAGCAGTGTTTCTCTCGTACATCGATAAAAACCTAAGGACTCATTCCCAATACAACTGTCCTTTTACGTAGAGGACTGGTGATTATAGGAGCATGAATTTGAGTTGGAAACAAAAGGAGGCATGTTAATCTGCTAAAACAATTGCATTCAGCGAAAGTCTCTGCAGGGTTGGATCGATTTATATATACCTTATATGATAGTTTTATTGGGATTGAGCCCTAAGATAAAAACATTTAGGTGAAAACTGATGTGAACAGAGCAGTAGGTTATCAGTCCCATGTCTGGTCTCAGCTTGTCCCGCGTCAAAACAGACTGATGGAGACGTCTCCAGTGGTTTGTGGGAATTGAACTTCTCAATAGCTGATAATGAACTATCATTTTTGTCTTTCGGCAGAATTTGCTGACATCTTGATTCCTCCAGAGATTTTGAACACCCAGCAATAGAGGTGACTGTCTTGTGAGAGATGTGCGCCTGCATAAGGAATTTCCGTTAATGCTGAAGATGTTGATGTACTCTGGGAAAATAATTTACTTATCAATTTTCTGAACATTGGAAAATAAGATAATGCCAATATTTTCAGATAATCAGTCATTGTAATGGCAAGAAAATGAGTTAATTTTGTGAGCCTAATGAAACGTTTGCCCGTGTGACAGTGAGGAACATGGGTACTGGGATTTGGAAAGTTTGCAGATCTTTTGACGCCTTTCATCTTTAGGAGGATGCAATGTCATGGGTACTTCTCTTTCTGTTGGAAATACTCCAAAGGTCTTCCCATTTAGGGCATTATGTCATAGTGATACAGTATACCATTTTATTGAGATAATGAGAAAATTCAGTCTAAGATCTTGGGAAGATGTGAGGTCCGTGAAGGTGTATGCAAGCGATCACTTAATGGACTGCAATTCATGTTACTTCTTTTAGTTTGTGATAGAACTTCATTATTCCAATACTATTTATGTTTGTTTGTAGATATCAAGTTTTTGTAGTAGTCGAGTTTTTTACATTCCCACTGGAGTGAAAATGTTATTTTATTTGAGCTAACCAAATGCTGTATTTTCTTAGTTTTAAATGCATGCTAATTGATGTCCAGCACCCTTTAAGAATTTTTTAAAGTATTCTATGATGTTATGCACTGTTTCATTTCTACAATTCATTTTTTTTTTTTTTTTTTGAGGGAAACAAAAGTTACTTTCAGTGGATAATACAATGTTGGAATTCTAAAAGGTTTACTAGAATATATTTTTCTAGGAGGATAACTTTCTTCTTTTCGTTGTGATCTAGTCAGAAGATGATATCATTATACTGAAACCAAGATCAGGCTGATGTTAATCTAGATAGAGAACTTACAGTATTGACAGTCGACTGTCCCTTAGGCTCCATTTCCATAAAACCATCAGTCTATGTCTATCGATCCAACTTTGCAAGGACTGTCGCTGAGAACAATCAATTAAACTGAATGACACATCTTTTGTTTCCATTGTGCTTGTATAAATAATCATCAGCTTTTCTGCATTTTACCCAATGCCAGATGGATGTCTGTCATTCAGTTAAGCTGATTGCACTCAGCAAGAGTCCCTGCAGAGTTGGATCAATCAACATAGTCTGATGGTGTCTATGGAAATGAGATCTTACACTATATTACTTGCTCTTTCTACGAATATCAATACATAGAGTCCTTAAAGTCCTGACAATGTGCCCCTTAATTTACTTCTGTTCATTAAAGATGACAGATCACTTTGATGCAGGTATTTATGCTGTCTCTCTCCTTAATTACCTCAAAGGAGGATTTAGTACACAAAGTGGATGATTGCCAGGAGCAGTGCTTTGCACCTTAAGATGTAGACGTGCTGAAATAATTTACCTGGAATGGTGATTAACGTTTTTCCAAGAAAATGTCATTAAGCCTTGTATTGTTTCATTTACTTAAGGAAATGGAAACAATGAAAAATATGATATTGTAGTATTCAGTGATCGAGATTGCAATTCTG